GAGCACACTGCCATCCTATACCCACTTTAACTTTTTTATATATTTTTCCCCAGCTTTTCTGGCTGTAACCCACTTTACAACTTCCTCGAGTGCCGGGGCTTCCCAGCCATATCCCTACCCATATATAGACATAGATATATATATCCTTCGCCCCCCTTGAATAATCATAAACTAACGGCGCCTCAAAGTATGCAATGCATGTGCGGAATTAAGCTTGTGAGTGTGTGTGAGCTGCAAAAGGACGAATTAAATTGCATTTTGTATTGATTTCAATTAAGTTCTGTTCGCTTATCCTTTGGCAAGGGGGCTTGGGGTGTGGAAGTGGGGGAAACTTTACCCTATCTGTGTGATTTCAGCTTTCCCGGCGACTCGAGTGGCGTGTTACGTATACGCCTCGTTGCGCTCCAATTGGCTGGGCTTCCCCCCTGATTGATTGTCTAATTGTTTGGCCGGCAAAAGTGCATCAACGATTGAAGTTGGGGAACATAATCACCCCTATATCTTCCCCCATCTGATTTGTGGCCAACCTTCCTTTCGATTTCACCTCGTAATCTATTAAAAATGTGAATTTAATGTCTTCTTGATATCCCCCTTTGCACAACACACACACAAAGATTTCATATCAGCGAAACATGGGCGGGGAATTTTCAATGGAAGAGGGGGAGCCACAAAAATGTTACCCGATATTTATGTACCGATTTCTCGGTAAACTCTAAGCCTTTCGGCAAAATGGGTATTAATATTTTGGCCAAAAAGCCATTTATGCGCGCGCGCACATGTCGCCGAACATTAAAATGTCAAATTTGGAGCGTAATGTCGATGTTTGGCCCATTCCGAACTTTTATTGGCCACGTTTTATCTGCCATTTCCACACAGCGGGGAATTTAATTAATGGATACGCTTGCAAAGCGTCTAATCGTAATGAAAAGTAATGCGCCCACACAAAATTAAAAGCCAATTAAGCGGTGACGAGCTTCTGCCATAACTCACTTGTCCGATTCCCCCCCTTTTTTTCCCCCTTTTCCAACCCCTTTTCAACTCCACCCGTGAAATGCAGCCGCCCCTGGGCTAAGGGCCATAAATGCCAATCATTGCAGTCCGGTAAAAAGGACTCCAGCCCCCGGTTTTCTGGCTCCTTTCCACACTTCTCGATGGCAACCGAGGAAAAACAAGGCGGCCAAAAGGCAAGCGGGCAAAAATAACAATTCAGCTTTTAATTTCATTGCTTTGAGCACTCTCCTGGGATTCGCATGATAAATGGCGCCGGCCAAAGCCAAGCCCCGTGGAGAAGGGAAAAAAAAGGGGCGGGGGCCGAAAGGAAGCCAAGTTCATTCACACGGCTTGTGTAAATACGAGACTCGAATATCTGCACTGGGCGAAAAAGTGTGAGGTAAATATAGCATGGTATATCAGGGCATTCATCCCAAAAATGTAAGAAATTTATTGGAAATTTTCAAACACCTAATTGGGGCTTTTAAGCAATTTTTTGGGATGCACAGTATTTTTGTTGGTATCTAAATTATTATATTATATATATTATAATATTATAGATTTCAAAGGCTTCATTAAAATATTGAACAGCGTTTTCATAAGCTTATAAACAAGTAATGTCTGAAAATAAAGATACTTTTTTCAACGTCTTTTAAAACGTATTAAGATTTAAATCTAAAATATTTTTAAGGCAATGCCATTTTTGTCTCTGCAATATCCAAACAAAGTACAAGTATTCGGCGTGCGGCGCGGAATGCCATTGCCCCATGGTAATCCCTCAAAATATGTTTCGGCCAATTCCACGAATGGCTAACCCTAACCCCTAATCGAACTTTCAAATTCGTGCCAAACTTTATTCAACTCAAAAAAAGGAAAAAAAAATAAGGAATACAAAAAAAAAGAAGTGAGGGAAAGCATTCGACTAAGCACTGAACCGCTTGATATCGTTTTAATGAAATTCGAATTGACTCCCACACCTCGAAGTGGCAGCCATTTTGTATTTGCCTCAACATTTTAATCTAATTTCAATGTTCTCGCCCAAAAAGTGAGGGCCAACGGAGCGAAAACGTTGAAAAGTTTCGCCCGGTGAAAGTGGAGGGCGGGAAAGTGGATGGTATGGGGTCGATTCGCGTGAAAAATTTTGTGGTCAGTTGTTAGGGGATGGCTATATCCCTGAATATATCCAAATTCCCTCTTTTTTTTAGGTACCACTTTCGCCGCCTTTCCCCCATTTCCATTCGCCTGTCAAAGCGTTAAAGTTAACGCCAATTGCCAAACGCTCTCAATTAGCTTTGATTAAATGGAAGCAATCCCCATCACTTTCGTCTTTATCTGGTGCATGGCAAAAGGTATTAACATAACTCTGACAAGGGGTTCGGCGCCCTTGGATTGTCCATAAATAAAGCTTAGTTTGAAGTGTCCAGAATGGGGGAAAAAGAACGGAAGGAATGGTGGGAAAACTGCCCTGTTACAAAAAGTGTTGCATACCTAAAAGGCGTTGGAGCGGATTTTTTATTAAAATAGCACACTTATGAAAAACTTTCCAGAATAAATTCTTCTTGAATTGTAATTTTGCATAGACTTTAAGAATTTAATTATCAGAGGTATCTTAAGTAGATGTGTTGTAGAAACGAAAATGGCCTTGTAACAAAATGTGTTGCATACCTAAACGGCGTTGGAGAGGATTTTTTATTAAGGTGCCACATTTAAGAAAAAATTTCAAGAACATATTCTTCTTGAATCGTAATTTTACACAAGCTCTAAGAACTTATTAATCAGATGTATTAAATGTATTTAAAAATGGGATTTAAGGTTAATTTTAAATTTGAGTAGCACAACTTTATATTAAAGTGAAAAATATTCCACTAAATACAATAATCCCTGGAAATGTACATATATCAGGTAAATGGAGCATAAGAAGTCATTGTAAGCCAGCAATCATTAATATTGGTCCTCCAGTCAGCTGGGAAACTTCGAGACGCCACAAATTGTTGTGGGCCCAGGCTGGGAAATACCATTTAGATTTCGATTCGGATTGGGACAGATGGCTCTCTGGGCCCGGGTAATTGTCGGGTTCCAAGGGATCCCAAACTAGTCGTTTTATTAGGATTTGATTTGACCCGAAATGTTTGCCTTTGACAGCTCTCTCTCTGGATTCTTTTTGGTCCTTGACTGTGTTGGCCTCTGGTTCGCGTCACCTCCTCACCTCTTCAACTCTCGAGGGCAGTGGGGTGCCCCTTTCATTTGCATTTTGCAGTTTGCTTTTTTGCGCCTAATTAAGATGACCAACGATGCAGGCAGCACAGAGGACCAGGACCTGACCGAATCTGGCCGAATCTGGCAGGACCTGCAGCTCCACTGGCGCATCCTTTGAGCCAAACTGCGCACAGTGGCTTCCCAGCCCGGGCCCGGCTTATTATCTCATCTAATTTACGGGGCTTCCCCTTTCGACCTCGCAGTCGCCCAACTAAATGAAATCAAGCCGTGTAATGAGCAAAAAACTTTCTAAAATGTGCCAATGCTCCCCGAGCAAGATGGAGTCCATAATTTTCTGTTAACGAAAGCCCCGAAATTCCCCCCGGCGCACCGCCACCGTTTTCCCTTTATTACACTCCGAAAAGTGAGCGAAACTGTGTTCGGTAATCCGAAAAAGTAGCCATAAAATAAAAGCACTTGGCGAAGAGTTCGTTATTATAAGGAAACTAATTCTTAAAGTTGCAAAATTGGGATAACCATGTGATATTTGTGGGTTTTTGTTTATTTAAGGATTATATATTTAATTAAACTTTCCATTAAGTTATCAGAACTTTTATCAAAGGGAAATTCTTCCTTAAAGTTGAAATTATTTTTACAAATATTGGGATGTCTTTAAAAGATTTTCAACTGATATTTTAAATTGAAAAATTACTCCAAAATTTAAAGGATATTCGGAAAAGATATTAAATAAAGATTTTTAATTACTTTACAATAAAATCTTTGACTATTTAAATTTTTTGTAGAGTTCTCTTTTTTATTGATTTGATATATTCATTTTTCCTTCGAAGGTTGTAATTCCAAATATACCCCTAAAATATTCCTGACATCCTTAACCTTTGACATTTTTGACACATTTTTTTGCCAACTGCATGTTTTGTACTACATTTTAATAAAAACAATTTCGCGCATTGCGCTGCCATTTGTGAAGTGGGCAAAAGTATTCCGAGAGCTGCGACAGAATTGCAAAAATTTTAATTGTCGCTTGCCGTTGCTGACGACGTCGCCGCTTCCACATCCACATCCACATCCGCATCCACATCTGCGTCCACGTCCACGTCCGCCGTCCACGTCCACCGTCCACATCTAACGCCTGGAGCCTGCAGGATATCTGCGCTCCCGTGTGTTTTGGCCGATGTTAATGTGTCCATTGTGCTGGTTAACAAAACCAATTTGCCTTAGTGGATTTTTATGTTGCGCTTCGGTATTGCAGTTTTCCAGTTCCGGGCAACACTTTTGTCTGCGGTTTTCCGGGTTTGTTTGTTTGTTTGCTTGTTTGTTGGCTTGTTCGTCCATTTGTCAGTTTGTTTGCCGATTCCATATTGTCGTTGTTATTGTTAACCCTCGCCCTGTGTTTTTTCGACTGGCTGTGAACTTTTGCCTGCTTGTGTAGGTCATGATTCGCTTTTAATTGCACTCCGCTGCGGGGCTCATTTGGCCAACAAAAAGAAAAACGTAGAAGAAAAGGCTTTGTTTAGCTCTAATTTGAGCATGTGTTTTTGCCACAGGGCTACGAATAGACTAAGCCATGTATGGCCTTTATTAGCAAAGTGGGAATATTATCAAATTAAATACATTAAATATTGAAATCAAATAAATATTTATAAAATAATTACAAAGGTTAAGATAATTATATATAAAAGACTGCCATAAGATACAATTAGGTATTGGATAATGTATGTATATGGGAAATCCATCTTTTAGTATTCGAATTCCACTGATGCTGATATATGATATGTTTTCTCTTCCCATTTCAGCTTCTGCAGACTAAATCAAGTTCCTGAACAACAGACTTGGCAGTGCTAAATATTTAAATAAAGGTTCCCAAACCAAGATGTCGACACACAGGCTAATTTTTCTGGGCATTTTGTGCCTGCTGGCAGGTGAGTTCAACTATTTGCCCTAGCATTTTAGGCTCTTGAATGTCCAGAATGGCATTTCTTGGGGAATGACAGAGGCAGGGGCAGGGGTAGGGGTCACCTGTTCTAAAGGGGGGATTTTGGAATCGCAGATGCCACGCCCACCCCAGGCGAACGCCCCCCTTTCAAGAATCCATTTTGCATGCGCGGCACGTAAAAACAATTTCGTTTGGCCCGCGACTGCAGCTTCATCAGCAGAAGGAGCATCCCGTGCAGAAATTGTTTTAAATCATCTACTCCGCCATCTATTTTATAAACTGAAATTTAAAATAACAAGCCGTAAGCGTGCTTTGATTATTGGGGGCGTGGCCAAGTGGGCGGGCGATGGAGTAATATTGGATGTGAAATAGAAATAAAATAAGGGCAGCAACATTTCAGCGCATCGCAAATTGCAAATTGAGCAGAAAAGCATTCAGTTGGAGTCTGGGAGGATGGGATTAGGGCTTCCTGGTTACGGACTGCCTGGTTTTAGATGACGACTGCAGGCACAGATACGAAGTATCCACAAGATACGAGCCCAACACAATGCTCGTTAAAATGTGAGTAGTTTCTATTGCACTTCGATCTGTCATAGAAGATGGAACTGCCATTCTTCGTCCTACGCAAATTCGATTTAAATGAGTTTTGTGCAGCAGAATGAGAGAGCAATACACCTCTTTTGATTGCTTAATACATTTACTTTATTCTATTTCACTGTTTTTTAACCACCCGCAACATTTAATGGGTTTTCGGGGTCACCACCATGGCTCAAACACCTCCGCTCTGATGAAATTAATGCTCAAGTCAACTGATGGCAATCAATAAAATGTCAGCCGAGGAAAAATTGTCGGTCTGATTAAAGTCAGCTTAGCCGCTTTTCCCTGCCGAAGTTCGTGCCTTTGTCCCTTTCGTGTCGCTTTTTTTGGTTTTTCCCCCTCCCGGAAGGAGAAAAGATCAAAGGGCGTAGCTTAATGACAAACGCTAAATGGAAAGTAATCAATAATTTTGTGACAAATATCGGTGGGTAAAAAGTTTTTCCCCAAACCAGGTTGCGTGGCTAAAGTAAATTGAATAGCAATTAAAGTGAGGTCTCCACGCTGTGCGATTAAACGAACTGGGTCGTCGCTGTGGTGACCCCGTTGATAAGGCGCGGAGTTCCGTTAAATTGGTACCATTCAACAGGTTGATCGGCGGTTATGGTCTAGTAAATGAATAATTAACTATATTTGATTGGAAACGTGTCTTTTACTTTTCATTTATTTTCATTTCTTACCAAAGGTAATATGCAAAATTTTTATTTTACTTGGTGACCCCAATGTGTTCTTTTCTTTTAATTTATTTTTTTTCTTATTATTATTTATTTTTATTTTTCCTCTAAAATATTATTCCCTTGTTAATGGTTACATGAAAACATATATCTTTAAAATGTGTTTCATTATTTCTTTTAACTTGGTGACCCCGATGCTACGAATCGCTTTCAAGTGAGGCCCTCTTAAACTGCTTGGATTTCTCAGCATCTTAAATTCTAATAATGAGTTCCACAAGTTTTAGTACTCCCCTCGATTGCCCAGAAATCTGAAAGAGACGCGGTTGACATAAATCAGGGCATACCACCTCCATGTCCCCAACTTCATCTCCGTCTCCATCTCCACGGCAGTCCTATCAGCATTACAATCTCATCTCGCCGCACTGGCCAACCGCAAGTTAAATAGTTTCGAGAGCGGCCATTATATGGGATATATGGGGGAAATATGAAAAATGCCATCAAAACGCCGCGAAATGAACTCCGACTTGACTGACTAACTGACTGAATGACTGAGTGACTCACCAACTGACTGACTGACTGAATGACTTACTGACTTGGCGGAACTGAAAAGACGCTGGGCCATTTATAACCGGGCTGCGGGTGGTTCGGATTGGGTTGTTTTGGGATGGGTTAGGGTCTGGAGGGCTGGAGGGGTCCGTGGGCCATGTTCCTCTGATGCGATAAGAATAATTGGAATGTCAGTTTAGATGCGCGCACGTAAAATGCGAACGCAAAGCGACACATACACATCCATTGCCGCCCCTGGAAACCAGCAGTGGGCGTGGCCAGCTGCACATGTTGCAGGCCAAGCTGGAACACTCGAAAAGTTTACTTCAGATTTTTTAAAGAATTTTATAATGTCATAATTAAAAAGAAAAAATTAAAATTTTTGAATCTTAGTTTGTAATAAACAAATAATCACTTTAAAGGCCATATGACACTGTCTTCATTTGGATTTATTTAAAGTGTCATAAAAATATATATAAAAAAGGGTCTTTAGCCTAAGACCATTTTATAAATTTGTACTATTATTATTTAAATTAAATTTCTATCAATTTTAAGACTGGTATTACTTCCTAAGATACTATACATACACGCATACTTAGTAATTAAAAAAAATCTAGTGTCATAAGGTCTTAAGTTTTAACTACTTACAAATATTTATCTTAAAATATTTAAAAAGACATGCCAACCTATGTATAGTATATCTATCAAGCAAGTATCTTTTCGTTACTACAGAGTATATAAACTCTTAAAAAAATATTGAGTCCATTTTTTATAGGTTGCCATGACTTTATAAATTGGATGTCATAAGACCATAATCAATGATGCACATTTTTTTTATGAAATTGCAAGTAGGCTGCACAGATTGCAATATTTTCTCTCGTATCAAGAAATATCCTAATATAAGAGCTCTTAAACAGTATTTTAAAGATTTTTGTTAAAATTATAGGCACTCCTTTAAAGTGATTCAGATTTTCTATATAATAAGGGTGATGTATACATGATTTTATTCGAGTGCATCAGCAGTAAATATGGCACAATAGTTGCTGCAACATGGCTGGTTTTAGTGTTGCTGTTGCAGCTGTTGCTGCTGATGTTGCTGCTGCTGTCGTCGTCGTCGCCGGCGCACTTGGCTGAACAATGACATAAGTCTAATGACAAGCAGAACGACGATGACGAGGATGGCCGAATGGCGAATAGCGAATGGCGAATGGCAAACGGCGACCGCAAAGCCACCGCCAGGAAAAAGGAGGTCCTGGGACCTGGGGTCCTGGGGTTCTGGGGTCCTGCGAATATGGGGGATACCAGGGGTACCAGGGGGTGTTGCCAACCAGAGCTTCAGCTGCTGTGATGACACTGACAACAATGACAACGCTGACATGACATGCCGCGCGGGACGAGGGGTCGCCGGGACAAGCGACTCGACAAAAAAACGGAGAAAATAAACCGAAAGAATTTCGAACAGAGCGGAATTCCAAGTTGGCCATAAAGAAGCTGTAATACCCTAAAGTATCCGGGGGAGAAAAGCTTGTAGGGCATTAAATTTCCAACCATCAGATACAAAAGAAGTTGTTTATATTTTGCGAGCCTGAGAAAGTTGCATGCTGGGTGGAAGTGGTCTTAAACTGGAAGCCTTAAGAACTTGTCACTAAAATTTGTGGCCTGGGTGTGGTTTATATATAAGTAACCATATATGGTTTATTTCTTCTTTTAAATTCTGGACTTAACTGAATTTTAAATCGAGACAACTTACTTTGATTTATAAACCTTCTTGGTACTAGAGAGCCATAAGTATCTTTATTATAAAATGTATGATGCTATAAAGAGTTTGTATACTTATAAGATTTATGAATATAGTATGTTTTTAGTATGTTTCTAGCTACTTTAAATAAAGTAGTATTTTTTTAAAAAGTTTTAGGAATATTCTATCAATTTATGATGTTTTAAAGAGTGTGTGTACTAGTTAGTTTTAAAAATATAGTATGTTTTTGGTATGTTTCTACCTATTTGATATGAAGTAGTATTATTTTAAACTTTTTAGAAGTATACTGACAATTTATGATGTTTTAAAGAGTTTGTATACTAGTTATATTTAAAAATATGGAATGTTTTTAGTATGTTTCTACCTAATTGAAAGAAAGTATTATTTTTTTCATTTTCCAGAAATATACTGCTTCTACTTATAGTTCATCATCATTTCGGGGTATCCATTACAGCAACGAGTCGACAAAGAAATCAAATTTTAACACACTAAAGGGAATCGGTGGGTGGTGGTGTCAAAGAGGGTGGTTGTTCAGGGGGGGGTGCATCAGGGGGGTGGTGCTTGAGTGGGTGGATAGCTGGTGGGCAGTCTAAGCATAAATTTAGCTGCATGCTGCGGTCAGCAATATGCGTCCATGATAAACGAGCTGGGATAGGGTTTTTCGTCCTGCGCGGAGGCAGGGGATTTTCAGGGGCTGTCAGGACACCGAGAGGATGCAGGATGAAGGACTCGACCAGCCAGTCAGCCAGCCAGCCGTGCCCATTTATCGTCCAAATTGAAATTGAAAATCAGGCAGGCGCAACGCGCATCGCGTTGGAGAATTGGGGAGTCAGGAAGCGTGAATCCTGGAGGTCCTGCGACCGAGCCACACTTGTGTCATGAAAAACGGCGGCATGATTAGCTTGTTGCGCATGCGTTGTGGGCGTGGCCATTTGGCCAGGGATCCTCAAAGGTCCTGCTGCTGACAGGATGTCTGGGTGACTCTCATTTGCCACACTCAAAAAAAAAATCACCATAAATATTAGAAAATCGCCCGTGATTTCAAAACGCCATTGAATTAAGAAATATTTTCTTGATTATAGAAAAAATGCCTACAATTTAAGGAATTCGCCATAATTTTTTTTTTTTTTTGTAATGAAGAAGAGGAAGAATCCCACTTTTTCTTCAATTAATGGCGAATTTTTCTTGATTTTTTTTCTTGAAATAATGGTAAATTCTTACTTAAATTTAGGAAAGAAATACCCATATTTTAAGAGAAAGTGACTTTTTTTTATACATTTTGATGGTGGTCTAGCTGGTAAAGACGTCCGGTCAATAAACAATCGAACAAAAGTACCTGGTTCGAGCCCACGCCACGGCAAGTGTACCCTTTGTTTATTTATTTTTCTTTTTTTTTTAATTTATGTAATTTTT